AATTGGCCTTCTCAGCCACACTAGGCGCTGTTCCAAGCCCTCCATACAGAGCACGCTACCATAGTCTTTCGAGACTGAAGGATGCCTAACTAACTAACTAACTAACTAACTAATAACTAGCCCACACATAGTTAGCTTGCTAATCAGGATATCACGGGGCACTTTCTCAAAAGCTTTGCTGAAAACAAGATACACTATGTCTACAGCATTCCCTCTGTCTGTGAGGGAAGTGACCCTCTGTTTTTGATCAGGAGGTGACCTGATCAAAAAACACAATCAAATTAGTTTGGCAGGATTTGTTCTTGACAAATCCGTGTTGGTTTCTTGTTATTACTGCAATGTTTTCTAGGTGCTTGCACAATGACCGCTTTACTATCTGTTCCAGAATTTTGCCTGGGATTGATGTCAGGCTGACTGGCCTGTAGTTCCCAGGCCAGTTTTATTTCCCCTTTTTGAAGATAGGGACAACGTTAGCCCTTCTCCAATACTCTGGCACCTACCCTTTTCCCATTATTTCAAGAAAATAATGAATGCTCTCGGATGCAGTTCATCTGGCCCTGGAGATTTGAACTCATTCAAGGCTGTAAGATATTCCTTGACTATTTGTTTATCTATCTCCAGCTACAATCCTGTCCCACCTACTTGCACTCCCAATTTGTTTGGAAGTTCATAGTCTGTCTTATGGGGAAATACTGAACTAAAATAGGAATTTAACACCTCTGCCGTTTCTTTGTTATAATTTTTTTCATTTTCATTGTGGAGCTGTGCCACTATGTCTTTGGTTTGTCTTTTGCTACTCTTTCCTTGCTTCCTTCCTTCCATCCTTCCCTCAATGTGCTTAATTCAGTTCAGCATGTAAGTGCTTACAATGGCAGAACTAGTAGAAGTAAGGGTACTATTTGCATCATGGATCAGTTTTTTTTTTCACTCCTGTGCCACACTTCACTTTTACTTTCTATGGCCAGAAACAGACATTGGGCAGAGTCCAGAATTAAAGCTGAAAGCACATTAATGTTACAGAGAGCTTGGCTGAAGCAGTGTTTCCATGTTTGTGAAGTCAGACTTCAAAGGAATCCTGTGCTTTAGTCCTGAAAACCAATCACCAAGGAAAGCAAGATAATTTGCATAATCACAGAGTTGAGGGAATCTCATGCCATGACACTCAGGCCTCCACATTAGTTGAGATTTTTTTTTCAGACATGGTCTATGTTTGATGTCTATTTCTAGCCCCAGTGTCTCAAAACCATATTGTAAGGTAACAATAATTAACACAAAAAAGTATTCAGCAGACTTCCTTTTATTCAGATCTTAAGGGGAAAATACCATCTCTCTGATTCAGTCATATTTTACTATTTCATACAAACACATAAGGCCACAATTTATGTAAGGCTCAAGGTAAACCTAAAACAAACACAGATGTGCAAACATACAGATTAGTCCAACTGACTCCAGGGTAAGCAATTAACTTCAAAGGGACTACCGTGGAGTAACTGGTTTGAGGACTGCCGTTTGTAGAATAGTTTAATAGAACCATTTGTAAAAACAAAGAGAGAACATTTCATCCTACCTATGCTGGAGATTTTTATTTTATTTAATTTTATTTATTTATTTTTGTAAGATAAAGCCCATAAACATGGTCTAAGAGAGCCTGTCATAAGTCAAGAAGTCAATAGCTGTCGAAGCCAAGGAGGCATTCCCACCTCTCCTCTCCCCACAAATCTGGACAGAAGAGACAAGGAATGCCAGGGTGGTTGGCCTCCTATAGTGCTGGAATGGGACTTGTATGATCCTTGTTCTAATCCTCACTGAGCCATGAAAGTCCCCAGGTGACCTCTCTCTTGGCCTGTCCTACAACACATGCTAGTTATGAGGGTACGGTTGCCAGGAAGAGAGCCATCTACACCACCTTGAGCTTAGTCGAGGAATGGCAGGGTATTAATATAACAAACAAACAAATAAATAAACGCCATGCACTCTGATGGAAAGTGGTCCAAATCACTAATGTGATATATGCAACATAGTAATCTGCTTTACAAAAAAAAAGAAAAAAGAAAAAAGAAAGAAAAGAATGGTTTACGGGGGTGGTCTAACATGGGGGGGCTTTCAGCCACAATTCCATATTTATTTATTTATTTATTTATTTATTTATTTATAAGAGTTTTTACCAAATACCAATGGTCTCTGAGTGGCGTGCAGCAATATTAAAACTTTAGAACCACATTAAAAACCATTAAAATAATACCTAATATTATAATAATACCCAATATTAAAACAGACAATTTATCATTAATAAATCCTGCTGCTCACGTGGCCAGTTAAAGGATACTATTACAAAAAAATGCTGGCTAAACAGAAAGGTCTTTGCCTGGCACCGAAAAGCCAAAAGTGTCAGAGCCAGGCGGATCTCTATAGGAAGGGTGTTCCAAAGTTGGGGGGCAACAGCTGAGAAGGCCCTATATCAACATGCCATCCCCTTCACCTCCTTCAAGGATGGCACCTTCAGAAGGGCCTCCTGGCCTGATCTTAGAGTACAGGCAGGCTCGTATGGAAGAAGGCAGTCCTTTAGGTAACCAGGTCCTAAACTGTTTAGAGCTTTATATGTCAAAGTAATCACTTTGAATTAGGTAGCAGCAACAGGCAGCCAGTATAAATTTTTCCGAACTGGAGTGATATGAGTCCATGCGGTGACACCACTTACCAGCCGCACAGCACAGTTCTGTGCCAATTGCAGTCACCAGACTGAATTCAAAGGCTGCCCCACATATAGTGTGTTGTAGTAGTCCAGTCTGGTTGTTACCAGTGCATGTGCGACTGTTGCCAGGCTCTGCTCATCCAAGTAAGGGTGAAGTTGACATATTTTCCGCGGCTGTAAGAAGGCACCCCTGGACACCGAGTCCACCTGGGCTTCCAAGGTCAGACCCGGGTCAAGGAGCATCCCCAAGCTGTGGACCCTATCTTTTAAGGGGAGTGTAACTCCGCCACCTGGGCTTCCAAGGTCAGACCCAGGTGAAGAAGCACCCCCAAGTTGCGGACCCTATCTTTTAGGGGGAGTGTAACTCCGCTTAAGGCAGGGAAATGGCCCTTTAACCTATCTGGCGGAGCACCTTCCAGCAGCATTTCTGACTTGTCTGGATTGAGCCTCAGTTTATTGACCCTCATTCAGTCCATTATCGGGTCCAGGCATGACTTCCAAATGGTGCCTGTTACACCTGGATTGGTAGAGAATGAGAGGTAGAGCTGGGTGTCGTCAGCATATTGCTGACTCCTCAGCCCAAACCTCGTAACATGGTTTCATGTAGATATTGAATAGCATGGGGAACATTATAGAACTCTGAGGAACCCCATGACGCAACTGCTATGGATCAGAGCTACTGACTGAATCAATCATGCTAATTAAAACTCTGCATGCTATTATCAACATGGCAAGTCAGAACAATTAAGGCAAACAGAGGAACCAGCTTGGCAACTGTGCCACAGTCATGGGACTCTCTCTAGCTAGACACTTTTTGAATTCTAGAAATTATCTAGGCAAGAACATATGCCACCCTTGGCGAATACTAATATATACATAGGGTTTGGAAAGTTACTTCCCTCCCCCATTTCTATTTCAGAAGCACACCTTGAATCACCAGCAAGATAGTAAAAAAAAAGTGCACACCAGTCACTTAGCAAGAATATATGTTAATTGCAGTGGGGAAACAAAACAGTTTTGGGAAAACTTCAAGCATTTTTTTCAAACAAAACACTTCAGGGGCACATAAAAATGATTTTTTTTGAAAATATAAACTGTTCTGTATCAGGGGATTGGGGGGAGGGAATACTTTGCCAGTGTTTAAATAAATTAGAACCAGTTTCCTCAAAAGTGTTTTGTTTTCTCACTCTCAAAAGGACTCTCACATTGTGATTAACTTCTTTGTGGAAGATCCTTTTTATCTGTAAAAGTGTTTGAAAAATTATTCATTTTTAATTTTCATCACAGTATTGGAAAAACAGCTCATTATATGGTTCATGGTATTGCCTGTTACTTTTTCATTAATTTTTTTTTCAGAGACGACCCTGCAAAAAATGCCATTGATATGAGAACGGCATATGAATTGAAAAATTCCTGTAAAATGGCTGTTAAACTATAACTGAAAAAGTTAAACATGTTGCATCACTTAAGTAATTATGTTCCATTGTCCTACTTTTGAAATACAGATTTATTTATATTTTCATTACCCTTCCCCCAAAGTAACTCATTACAGGCAATTTTGTTATTTGTATCTCATTATTTCTCTCCCCTGCCTTGAGGATATAAACAGGGTTCTAACTTATTTTAAAAGGGCTAGCTAGCAAAACTGGTAGAAATCATTAGAGTTTAACATCAGTCTTATGGCATTTAATTTAAAGAAATATTTAAACATTTAGGTGCCCAGTTTGAAAAAAAAGCAGACAAGGAAGCTTTACAGACCCACAGAGTATGTGTGGCCATATGTGATCAGCTAGGGCTGCTCATAAGCACACTCTCAGATGCATATGCAAACATTCACACACTTGTACACAATGTCAGCTGACAAAAGCCTGACTGTGCAAGGAAATAAAAAAGCAGAAATAATTCTCCCTATGAATCCCATACAGTGACTATGATTGCAATATAAGATGGAGACTGGGATAGGACATCCACATGGACTGGGGACTATCTGTGGGCTACAAGTCACTCAGAAGTGAACTGATTTAATGTTTGGCACTTTAGCCTTGACAGCATCCAGCTACTGTTTCGAACATAGAAAAAGAACCTGCATTTAGGATGTGGACAAGATCTCCTACCAACATGGCAAAGTAATCAGGTTCCGGGTTTGACACACAAACCCCTCCATTTTGGATGCAGAGACCCAAGTTTCCAAAAAGACACACACAGCCTCCTGATGTACATGGGTTTCTGGTACAGCCCGTGCATGGACCTGCTTCCATAAATGGCTCACTTTGATCACCCCCATAGAATCTTAGGGAAACAGACCAACCTGGAACAGCAATCTTCCCAACTGTTGGATGATTCATCTCCATGATGAGCCCATTGTGCAGCACCTTTAAATAAATACATACATACATAAGCAAGCAAGCATAACAATGAGAATCACTGGTTTTTAGAAAGTGTTACCATCAATGATATAGAAAGCTCTAGCCAAAAATGTGGGTCATGGTCTAATCCCATTAGGTGAGGAGGACAAAAGGCACTCTATTTGTGCACAGAGTAGTGGAAGCTGGTGAGTTGTCCTGTTTCAAATTTGTTTGAAATGAATGGGTTGAATTGTTATATTCCTAGTAAGGACACACTCATTTTACTACCTTGGCAACAATGCTTTCAAAATTCAATAGCATTTTATCCATTTAAACAGGTTCTATTTTAGTAGGCCATACTGTACTTAACAAACCCAAACTGTAGTCGAACATTTTCTCAGATGAAAACTAGCACTCTAAATTTCATCAAGTACATTTTTGTTGCTATGTCATTTTAATTTTTCCTTCTTGTTTTTACAAAGAGCGTAGTCTTTATTCTCTTAGATATTTCTCTCATCAAAAAGAAAACATACCGGCAAACAAATGAAATAAAACAATCCAGAATAGAAATTCCCCCACTGCAAAAAATAGCAATTTGTTACATTTTCACAAAATTTCAAAGAAACTTCCTTATAAATAGACTTCAGAGGAACATGACTTCAGACTTCTCAACCCAGTTATTTCAGGAATTTGGACATCAGTGAGAGAAGAAATCCAATAAAGCCCAAGTACCTTTTAGTGAGAGAGGGATTCTCTCCCAGTTAAGAGACCACAGGAACTTGTTTCCCAGAAGCACTATACCTACCATCAATCACATTGATATCTATTTATTTATTGAGATTTTATACCACCGAATTAATGTGAAGCACTACTCAGGGCAGTTAACAATCAAATCATTATAAATTATATAATACAACCAAACAAAAATAATAAACTCAGTCAAATCAAAGACAACATAAAGCAAAAAATCCATCCATATCAAATTATTATAATATATTAGGAAAATGGAGGAAAATGGAGTCCAGCTGATATTAAACTACTACTCCTATCAGCATGGACCTGGATAAACCATAGTAAAAGGCAGTCAGGGGAACTTCAACCATATTTATTCTATTCCTGTCCCCCTTGATTTTGTAAAAGAAAGAAAATATGCATAGCTAATTTTGCTGTCATAAAACCATAAGGCATCTGTCAATGCAACTTTGAAAAATTGGTTCGGTTGAGTAGCATTATGTAAAATGAAAATTGTTTCTAAATTAAACTTTATATTTTGGATGCTTCCTATAAAGGTTACGGAAAAACAATGGAAAGAATGGCAGAGAATGATAAATTGTTATTATAATAGATATACACGAGTGATTAATAAGAAATTATAGTATGCAACACAAAAATGGAGGTCTTGGATTACCCAATTTAATATTATAGTATACAGCAAATCAACTTAAAGAAGCTGGTAAAGAGAACAAACTTTTTACAGTGAAACTCACCTTGCTTCAACTGCCATCTTTTAGGAAACAGAAAAAGAAATTTCTCTTTTCCTGCACATTTGGGTAGTTTTGTTGGTGTAATCTAAGAGTAATCCTATTTCTGCTGTTCTTCCCTATCCTTGGTTCAGGATGGCTTTACATGACCTTTCTTCTTCTTTTAATACATTTGTAAGATTTGCAATAACTACAAACTGAATCCACTTGGTAGCTCCAGCTGGACTAGATCAATTGAAGCCATGGTGTTTCCATATGTGTTAATTAATTCAGTACTTGATTTAATTAGACTTCACTAGTATTTCCATATGGACGTATGAATTTTTATGTTCTGTATTTCTTATACTTTCTGTCTTTTATTTTCTGGTGAACCACTTTGGGACTGTTTTTATGTGTGTATAGCAATTAATTTAATTAGCCAAGGTAAACTAAACTTGAAAAATATCACCAGCACAGAGACCTTTCAATATGAAGTACCAGAGAGAGAAAAAGTAAATATATAATCATAGAAACATAGAAAAGTGAAGTTGTAAATATATAATCATAGAAACATAGAAATGTGAAGTTTCTACAAAGCCATCAAGTCCAACCCTCTGCTCAATGCAGTAATACAATCAAAGCATATCTGACAGGTGATTATCTAAGTTTTTCTTGAATGCTTCCAGTGTTGGAGCACTCACTTACTTCTGAGGTAACTGATTCCACTGTCATACTGATCTAACAGTTAGGAAGGTTTTTTTTCTGAAATTCAACCAGAATCTGGCTTCCTTTAACTTGAGCCCATTGTTGTGTGTCCTGCACTCTGGGATGATCGAGAACAGATCCTGCCCCTCCTCTGTATGACAATCTTTCAAATATTTGAAAACTGCTATCATATGACCTCTCAGTGTTCTTTTCTGAAGGCTAAACATGCCCACTTCTTTCAGCCATTCCTCAGAAGGCTTTGTTTCCAGCCCCCTAATCATCCTTGTCGCCCTCCTCTGAACTTGTTCCAATTTGTCAGCATCCTTCTTGAAGTGTGGTGTCCAGAACTCAAGGTGAGGCCTAACTAGTTGTGAATAGAGGGGAACTAGCACCTCGTGGGATTTGGAAACTATATTTCTATTAATGCAGCCTAAAATACTGTAGCATTGGAGTTTTCTTGACACAGATACTGGAATGGCTTGCCAGTTCCTGCTCCAGGTAGATCACGTTTAGTCAGAACTCTCCACTATGACCTGTCCGTCTTGGGTCTGCATAGTCAAAGCTATGGTTTTTCCAGTAGTGATGTATAGAAGTGAGAGCTGGACCATAAAGAAAGCAGACCGCTGAAGAATTGATGCTTTTGAACTGTGGTGCTGGAGGAGGCTCTTGAGAGTTCCCTGGACTGCAAAGAGAACAAACCTATCCATTCTGAAAGAAATCAACCCTGAGTGCTCACTGGAAGGACAGATCCTGAAGCTGAGGCTCCAATACTTTGGCCATCTCATGAGAAGAGAAGACTCCCTGAAAAAGACCCTGATGTTGAGAAAATGTGAAGACAAGAGAAAGGGACGATAACAAGGCAGCAATCCAAGAAGGAGCAGTACTGCATATACATGACCATATCTCTGTGAGCAAAGATGGAGGTATTTTCTATAAATCACTATTTCATCTTTCAGTTACAGTTTCCAGCATAAAGATATGTTCCCTGTATGTCTTCAGATGTAACCAAACTGATGAAGACTTTATTTATTTATTTATTTATTGGACTTATATACCGCCCCATAGCGCTACAAGCACTCTCCGGGCGGTTTACAATTTTAATTATACAGGCTACACATTGCCCCCCCCAGCAAGCTGGGTACTCATTTTACCGACCTCGGAAGGATGGAAGGCTGAGTCAACCTTGAGCCGGCTACCTGGGATTTGAACCCCAGGTCGTGAGCACAGTTTTAGCTGCAGTACAGCATTTTAACCACTGCGCCACGAGGCTCTTTCCTTCTGATATTGGAAAAGAAAAAGAAAAAAGCTACATAACATGAGCCACTAATACTAATAATAATACTATGGCAAGGAGGTAAAATTGGAGGAGCGCCCTTGTTCTCTCTACATGCTTGTTGGTTTTCCACAAGTCTCTTTATATGTCTTGGCATGGCTTCTTATTAACTTGTCCTCCTGCTTATAGATCACTGCTCTGTACTTACATCCGTGTCTTTGTATATGAAAGTTATTCCAATCACATATATCTGAAGCTTTGTCCATTGCTAATGCAAAGTAGCCTGATCTGGTGGGATTATTTTATATATTTCTTTTTCTATTAAAAAAATAATATCCAATGGTTTTAATATACTCTTACTTTTTTAAAAAAATGGTTAATAGTCTCTCTTAAAAAAAACTTGTTTGTTAATAGTTTCTCTTTCTTTTTTTAAAATCTCCTTTGTCAATAGTCAGGAAGTCCTGAATGTTCCCCTACTCAATGCCTAACCTAAAAAGCAAATAAAATAACTAATGGTAACAGCATGGTATTATTCACATTTATATCTCACTCAGTTTTACAGTCCATAGAGGCTTCACCTGTTTCCCCATACAAAAAGTATACAATCAACGTACATTTTTCAATACAGCCATATTTTCCCAAGAGCCTTTCTTTAAGCACATCATCTATCTTACACCTGCCAAGTGTATGCCATAACATGTTTATATATAATGTTTAGCTGTATTGAGGCTTGTCTATCAGCTTCAAAGCAACCACTATGTATGGTCAAATCTGAAGTGTGTTTCAAGTCTACAGAAACCTACAGGAATATCAAAAGGTTGAGATTTCAGGCAAAGAGTATGTAAGGCCATCTAATCTCAGCTGGGAAAGTCTCAAGGAATTACCATGATTCTTCAGCTCTCCAGAGCAAAAGGCAAATCTTACAGGAAGAGATGCTGGAGGGGGATTTTTTTGTGTGTGTGTTTGATGTCCTTAAGGCCTGGGCACCCATTTCTGCCCCAGTGGTATCAGGCAGGGCTCAATGGCTCAATATGAAAGTGCCTGCAAGCACACTGTGTTTGTACAACATCAGCATATCAAAAAGCAAGAAGCAGGACAAGAGAGCTGGGAAAGAAGGCAATTGGGTTCCATCATGTCATTCAGCAAGGCAAGAAATGGAGTACCAGCATCATGAACCCTCTTGTTACACAGATCGTGGCAGCAGCATTGCAGAGAGGCAGATGGCAACATTCACTGTGGGGTGGAGCTGAATCTCCCACAAATCCCAACAGCAGTATAGAACACTGAAAAATTATCATATGTGTTATAGATAAGTCCTAGCAATCACTGTAGATGCTGAGGATATTTTGCCACCTTTTCCTGACCCTGAATTGACATATTACCTGGTAAGCTGTGTTTTACCACCTTCCACAAACAGGTAGCCCAGAGACCCACTCCCAATGCTTGCCTACTCTGCTTCAGCGGCACCAAGAAGACCTAATGTTCTAGCCAGCAACTGCTGATGTAACTTCAGAGTTCTTATTCTGCTTTCTCATGGCTGTTTGTCTGGTCTTCAAATAGAGGCACCTTCAAATAGAGGGCAGTGTATA